GGCGCCAGGCAGCAGGCGAGGGAGCAGCTGCGCCCGGCCAGCTAACGCGCCCACTGATTGAATTATTTCCGCAGGGACAGCCAGGGTGCTAATTTTGATAACAAAACACCCCCCTGGGAGACCGACTGCTCCTCAGCTGCAGCAGTGGAGCATCAGCTTAAATGCCCGACTTAACTCCCCCAGTACCGAGGGTTTCAGAAAAACATTTTTTAAATGAACACATTAACTGAGCAATCTAATTTTCTATCTTTGAGCCAAGTCCTAAGCCAGCACAGTGCTAATAGAAATCAGCATGCTGTAGCTTTAATTTCTCAACTGGGTATAGTTCAGAGCTGACATTCCTCAGCATGGAGTTACCTTCAGAGCTGTCTGAAAGGCATTTCATTACGGTCTTCAGCGAGACTGCTCAAACACGGCAGGGCTGAGCGCGTGCTCCCGTGCCTTGCTGGCATGGCGAGGCACAAATAACAAAAGGAGGAGCGGGTGGAATCCATACGGAAAGGGGAGGCCGCCCCCAGCGCCGCGTTCCTCCCGCTCGGGCAGGGCAGCACCGCGCGGCGCCTGCGGTCGCGGCAGGGAGAGGCGCCCAGCCCGGCAGCCGGCAGCGGGAGATTAACTCAGGGAGGACGGTTAATCTCCAATCTGACAGTAATTCTCCAGAATTGCTTTCGCGATCCCTGACCATGGTAGTACAGGATAATGGAAGTGTCTACAAGCTGACCAAGCGCTCGGCCGAGCCCCCCCGTCCGGCAAGAGCCCACGCCCCTTGGAGAGCAGGGGCTGCCGGCAGGACACGCAGAGCAGCCAGGAGGACACGAGCTGGTGACGCTCCACATCCACCACGTTGAGGTGCAGGAACCTGCTGCCGGCCTGCCGGGGCCGCACGCCCAGGGCCAGCTCCTGCACGCCGTGCGCCGGGAGGACGAACACGCCGGCCGGGGCCACCTGCAGAGAACACAGCGGGGACGTGGCCGCAACGCGCGGGGGAGCGAGCAAGAGGCAGCGCCAGAACCTCATGTGGCTGCGCGACGCGGCGCTGCAGGAGGGAACCCCGAGCAGGACGGACGCAGCCTCGGGACGCACTGCCCGGGGGACGGCGAGGACACGAAGCCGAACGCCATGGACATGGTGCCAGGACCACCCGGAGCCCCCAGGCTGCTGCTCCTTGGCTAGTGACAGCCGGGAGAGCCTCTCCTGCTCCCTCATAATGTCAAGGAGAATATAAATGAGGTGCCGATGGAGCGCAGGGAGCGTGCGCCTACGACACAAATATTTAACAGCACCTACATTAATAAACCGGGACTAACTTTATGTTAGGAGCTCTGTGCCGATTCTAATGTGAACTTTGCTTAGCCACACGAACGCTAAAGGTGGATTTACCAACAGCTAGTGCTTTTCTCCCTGCCTGCAGCGCTCAGCCTTATTCCTTGCATTGCAGCGCGTGCTGCAGGAGCGAGCGGCATCGCTGCCCGGTGCACACTGCCTGGAGTTTTGGGGCCTTCACGTTTACAGCCACGACTAATTCTTGAGAATTTCAAGAAATTATTAGTCTTCAGATAGTCTCATTAATGCAGATAATTTGCCCTCTGGGGTTTTGTACCAATGATTCTACACACTCCAGCTTTAATCAAAAGATAATTATCACCAACACTTTATGGCAGTAAATTGTTCATAATTCCAAAAGGGATGTGTTTCACTGCAGCAGGGTTATTGCCACTAGGATTGTCAGCGGAAGTCCACTACTAATTACAGTTGTGAGAGAGTCCTTCGCTCGCCCCGATCCCGGCCCCGGTGCGGTTACCTGGAGCTCGTGCGGGTGCGACGTGTAGGCCCGGACCCTCCGCAGCGCCCGCGTGCCCCGCGGGGGGGGCCCGGCGCCCCCGCCACGCAGCTCACGTCCACGCGCTGCACCGAGTGCACGTAGAACTGCCACATCTGCACCGGAGCAGCCAGCCAGGCGTCCCTGCAGCGAGAGAGCGGCGCAGGGGACGTGAGCGGCCAAGCGACCGCACCAGGGCTGGGCTCTCCCACACACCAGAGCCAGGGGCTGCCCCTGGGGCAAAAGAGCTTTCGTCCATCTAAGCAATTCCAAAGCGAAGCCGGGGCTGAGCGCCGGCAGCCCCTAATGAGCTCGCTTGCCCTGGCAGCGGCCGTGCCACGGCAGACCCTGCGCTCAGCAAAGCAAAGCCAGCAGCTCGTGTCCAGCTCCCCCACGCCAAGGGCAGCCTCGCGAGCGGATATTTCAAGGCAACGAGGAAGCCCTTTGCTCAGGTCCCTGCTCGTCACAGGACTGTGTCACACACGGGACGCTGCAAGCAAGAGCTTCCGCGTGAACTGTCCTTTCTGCTCCGTCATGCTCCCTGGGTAATTGTTTCCTTTTTACTTTCTGGATTCTCCTACTTACGTATAAATAGCAACAAAGAATTTTTTGATCTGCGGGCTTGGTCCTCCAGCTACTTTTAAGAACACGTCCTGTGGTTCCCCGGGACCCTGAGTACAGAAATCAGAGCATCATTAGAACAGTTAACCCAGAGATCAAACCAGCTAATGAGGACTCCAGGGTTCCTTTTCCATTAAAAAAAAAAAGAAGAAAAAAAGAACACCCCACTTAGGAAAGCAGAAGCTTTCACGAACCAGTTATATTATTTTATTAGGATGCTATATAGTTTGGATTAACCCTGCCAGTGCTTTTAATTACAAAAGGGGATACAAAATGCCTATTGCATTCCAGGTCTATATCTGTAATTAAATTCTGGCAAATTTTCCCAAAGTTTTCAAACAAGACATAATTCAATTACCCCACTAACATATTTCTGCAATGCCAGTTAGCAAGTTCTCTTCACTACCAGCCACATTTATATGCACAGATTTATATTTCATTTCGATCTCACCAGCTGAGAGCCCAGGAAACCTGAAATCTTAGCTATTAATTACAAAACAAAAGCTGCACTTAGGCAGAGATATAAAGTGACTTCAGTCACAAACTTCCTGGTTTGGTCAAAAGAGTAATGAGGTAAATAAAAAGATCAGTATTAATTTTCAGTGTGCTTTTGCATCAAGCCAGGAGAGAGAAACAGACCAGAATAGATCTGGAAATATTTGCACTACGGGAAGGTTTGAGAAGGTGCTCAGGAGGTAAAGCTTCACACACACACACACACACCAATCCCTATCTCACGCTCCCTGTGCCCCTTCTCACCTTGCTAGCATCACACACAGAAACATGGGCTAGCTTTGGACAGCAACCTCCCTGCTCATTCACTGAGAACACAGTGATTCTGTTTTGCTCCCTCCCAACAGCTGTAGACACTCTCAATTAGACAGGAAAATGTATTTGCAGCACCTCAAGAAAAGGCTTCTTTTTACTAGCACTTTGAATCATTTAATATTTCCTCAAAAGAACAAGCTAGTACAGGCTGCTGCATGATGTGAGGAGGTGCAATATTGAGCTTCCATTGCAAAAACAACGCAGCTTGTTTTAACTGGGGAAAGAGGACCCGTTTCAGTTTAATAAAAGCCAGAATTTCATCACTCCAGACTGATAAATCTAGGTGCTACCACTGGTGGGAGGCACTTCCCTGCTGACTAAAACAGAGCAGAGCAGCAGGATACACTCAGCCATCAGCTCGACATTTATAACTGGTACCATATGTTTGGTTTCGCAAATGACGTTGGGGTCGCTGCAGCGAACGTACAGCTCGGGTTCCCCACCTGGCATCCCTGCCGGCGCACCTGCGAAGGAGACAAGCACGAGCAAACTTCAGCACCTTCTCCGTTGGTGGCTGCTATCTCCTATTCTACCCTCCATCTCCACACTGCCATGAGAACCAGCCCGGAACCAGAACCCCCCCATTCTGGGCTCAGCTATCGGGTGGTAGTAAGACAGCAGGCACTGATGCAAGGACCTAGAAGGAGGTCACTTGAGAGACACTCAGGTCCTGAAGACACAGAAGCACAGACAGCTTGGTAGTGCAGACTTGCTCTTTGAGATGCCATCTGCACCTTCTGCGAGGCTAATGGAGTTAAAATTAGCTGCATGAATGATGGGAGTTTGTTAGTTATTAGCACATAAAAGACGAGCCCAAGCCCCGCAGCCCCATGCGGTATTTTCGGTCGGGTCCTTGGTGCAATTAGGGTATTTACCCGGAAGCGTGTGCCACGGGGGCAGCCGAATGGCCTTCTTCAGGAAGGTCAGCTCCGGGTGGTAGAATCGGAAGGTCTGGTCCACCACGTGCGGCTGGGTCTCCACCGTCACCTGCAGGATGGCAATGGGCTTCCGGCCGCCCACGTGGAAAGAGACCTGTCCAACACGGAGGGAAAGGGAGCGGATCAGGGAGAGCGGACGCAAACAGCACAATGTCCCATTGCTCAGCCCCGGGACGAGCAGCGCCAGCCCAGGGGCGGTCACAGCTGTGAGCACCAGAGTGTCGGAGCACGCACGATCACTGCAATTCACGTGTGCCACAGGAATCACCGGGAAATTAAATCACGCAAGCTGAGAGCAACTGTTCTGAAAGAGCAACTACGGAGAACAGGAAGCGTTTAAGCAGAGCAGATAGGGGGTGAGAATGTGAATATAAATATCCATGCTTTGTAAACATGGCACTTTTCTTGCTACATTTGCTGCGGTTTCACTGGTTGATGTTGAGCCTCTCAGTATTTGGGTTCATTTTCTACATGCAATATTTGGATCCAACTGTGCTTGCTCTTTATGGATATATTGAAGATCTTGTTACCTATGTACCACCCTGCAGATTGATTTCTACAGCTCTGCATGACCGCACATGGGAGAAAACAGTGCTGCAGGACGCCAGCACACGGACATGGAGGAAAATTCAAACACCTCTATCCTCATCCTAAACCTGTTTCTGTAGGGGGGCATCCCAAAGGAGTGCAGGCTTGGTCTGGGCCCCACTGCACTGAAAGCTCTAAACTTTCAGGTCCACTTCAGCACACACAAAGACACTTCCCCAGCTTGCCTACCTCGATGTGCTTTGTGAGCGTCCCGCCAGGCTTCTGCAGAGAGGAGGCGGCCTCGTCTTCACCACCACTCAGCCCCGCAGGCCCCTGCTAGACACACAAGGCAGCGCTCATGAGGAAGCACTGGGAGCACTGCTACACGCAGTATTTGCACTAGGAGCACTGCTACGCGCAGTGTTTGCACCGGGAGCACTGCTACGTGCAATGTTTGCACCAGGAGCACTGCTATGTGCAGTGTTTGCACCGGGAGCACTGCCATGCTCAGTATTTGCACTGGGAGCACTGCTACGTGCAGTGTTTGCACCGGGAGCACTGCTATGTGCAGTGTTTGCACTGGGAGCACTGCCATGCTCAGTATTTGCACTGCGAGCACTGCTACATGCAGTGTTTGCACCGGGAGCACTGCCACATGCAGTGAGCGCTTTCCCTTGAAGCTTGAGGAAAGCTTGTCCGACACCTTTGCACAGCGCTGGCAAACACAGGAACACTGATTAAAACCAGCAGGAACCTCCTTTGCTGCACGGTGCAAGGGTTTTGTTTGGCTACAGGGATCTTATCCGGGCCAGCAGCCCATCAGGCCTCCCCCCGGCCAGCCTCAGCAAGCAGCTTTTGCACTTCTGCAGCCCCTGCAGCCAAAGGCATTCGGAAAGGGAGGGCTGGATGCAGCTTCTTTCTGATTTTGTTCAGCGTTTAAAATCTGCTGGATCTAAATGCCACCAGAAGAGCAAACACCGCAGGCACCGTGCTCTGCCAAAGACAAGTCTGAATGTTTTTAACATGAACATCTGGTAATACCTGCCTTACATCACTCCCTGCTAAGCTTCTGGAGGGCAATATCTGCTGCCAGAGGAAAGGGAGAAGCACTGGACACCATGTGAAAGGCACTGCAGGAGGCCAAAAGGGGCGCCCGCTTCCTCCGCGGCTTGGCACGGTACGGCACGGCACGGCACGGCAGCAGCACACCGCGCCGGCACCCACCTGCTGTGCCGGCTCCACCGAGAACGTCTGGTACTTGAAGGGGACGTGAACGGTCTCTCTGGGGCGCAGATAGAGCTGGGGCCCACGGCCGTCGCGGAGCTGGAACATGTCCTCTTCCACGGGGGTAGCCGTCTTGGTCAGCTCCTTGAAGTGCCTCCACTCCCTCGCGTCCACGATGACGCTGCAGAGTGACACAGGGACTGCAGGGACAGCAGGGACAGCAGGGGCTGCCACAGCCCTCCCGAGCCTGCCCAGGCCTCCCCGCTCCTGACGCAGCATTGGGAGCAGGAGCCTTCCCAGCGGGAGGGATTGGGAGCAGGAGCCTTCCCGCTGGGAGGAATTGGGAATCAGGAGCCTCCCTACTGGGAACCAGGAGCCTTCCCGGCAGGAGGGATTGAGAGCAGGAGCCTTCCCAGCAGGAGGGATTGGGAGCAGGAGCCTTCCCAGCGGGAGGGATTGGGAGCAGGAGCCTTCCCAGCAGGAGGGATTGGGAGCAGGAGCCTTCCCAGCGGGAGGGATTGGGAGCAGGAGCCTTCCTGGTGGGAGGGATTGGGAACCAGGAGTGCTCCCAGCAGGAGGGATTGGGAGCAGGAGCCTTCCCGGCGGGAGGGATTGGGAGCAGCTTTCCCGGTAGGAGGGATTTGGAGCAGGAGCCTTCCCAGCAGGAGGGACCCAGCCTGCTTGCAGAGCACGGAGTTGGACCCCAGCACGTGCAGCCGCGGGGCCCGCGCGCCAGCCCGGCGCCGCTACCTGAGCTCCGGGTGCTCGATCTCGATGGTGACCGTGTGCTGGACGTTGTAGGGGTTCCTCAGCGCGAACTCGAAGAAGGCGGCAGTGCCCGGCGCGGCGCGCACGGTGCGGCTGCTCGTGACGGCCTGGCGCAGCATGCGGGCGATGCCCTCGCCCTTGAGGCGCTCCCGGTAGGCGTCC